GTGTGTGTGTGTGTGTGTGTGTGTGTGTGTGTGTGTGTGTGTGTGTGGGCGTGCTTGCATCTCTGTGTGTGAGTGTCTGGGTGGGTCTGGCTGGACAGCGCCTTCTGAGTCCTGGAGATAAGATTTAGTGTTGGTATGACTTTTACTTGCTCTTGGTGTCATGTCTCTTCCAGAACAAAGGAGAGACAGAAAGAGGAAGGGAGGGAGGGAGAGAGGGAAGAAGGGGGAGAGAGACCAGAGAGGAGGAGAAGACCATGGCTATGGGGGGGGGGGGAGAGAAAAGGAGAAGGAGAGAAAGATTTGGAGAGTGGTAGAGGGAAAGTGGGAAGGAAGGCGGAAGGTGAGAGGAGCTGGAAGAAAGGGTTGCTAGGGGACAGTGATGGATGAAGGGGGAGGGGAGAGATGGACAGAAACAGAGACAAATGGGAGAGAGAGACAGAAACAGAGACAGAAAAAGACAGAGGGAGGCAGAGAGAAAGAAACAAGGGGGGGGGAGAGGAGAAGGGAAGGAGAGAGGAAAAGAGGGAGAAACAGACAAAAAGGGAGGCACAGAAAGAGAGGAGGGTTGGGGAGAGGAGAGAGGGAAAGAGAGAGATAGAGAACAGAGCAATAAAAAGGAGAGAAGAAAGATTGAGCCGGAGAGTGGAGGAGGGGAACAGGAGAGGAGGCTATAGGTTTTCTAAGTCATCCAAGTCCTCACCTGGGAGAAGAGGAAGGGAAGACATAGGCAGCTCATGTTCCGAGAAGAATGGGAGAGACAGACAGACAGACAGAAACAGAGATAAAGTGAGACAGAGACAGAGAGGGAGAGTCAGAGATAGAGAGAGAGACAGAAAGACAGAGATAGAGACAGAGACAGGAAAATAGGGACAGAGAGAGAAAGAGATAGAGACAGATGCAGAGACACAGACAGACAGACAGACAGACAGACAGACACACACACACACACACACACACACACACACACACACTGAGAGACCCAGCCCTGGCCAGCTGTTTCTGGTGGGCTGCCTCTATCTAACTGTGTGGGCAGGATGGAGGGTGGCAGGGTGTTGGCAGCAATTCATATGTGCCCAGTGTGTGCATTTCTGGGTGCCTGTGGACGAAAGCATAGGCCTATGCTCTCCCCTCTGGGCCCCCACAGTCTCTACATTCATGATGTCTCTCCAGAGTTGCTGCACAGTGTTGTTGTATACCTTTGGGGTGTACCTGTCCCAAGTGTGAGTGTGTGGGTGTGCATACACTCAGCTATGGAGGGAGTTTGTGTCTACACCTATCTGTGCCTGGTGTATCTCTCTAGCCCCCTTAGCTGCCTGCCTCACCTCTAGATCCCACTTTCTCTTACCTACACTTAGCAGCCTTCTCAGGGTCCCCAGTGGGTAGGACTGAGGGGAGCAGCCACTCTGTGCTCTAAGCTCCAGGGCTTGAAGAACTGGGGGGGCGGCTGCAGTATGAACAGGCCATATTCAGGATCCCCTTTGCTCCAACTGCTTTCTGCTCCCAGGCCAAGCTGGCTGCTCAGGAACCCCAAGAATTTCATCACACATACCCCCTCCCACTCCACTCATCCTGGCTGAGGTCTGACCTCTCCGGGGATATAGGCAGGTCCTCCTCTCTCCCAGCTCCCTCCTCCATCTCCCCCTCTCCACAGAGAGGGCAACAGAGACACAGCCACGGGCACCTTATCAGCCTGCTTCAGGCGAGACCCCGAGTAATGCCATCCATCACTGCCAGCTGCCTGGGCGAGCGTAGTGAAGGCGGAGAAGATGAGGAGAGGCAGAGCAATGAACTCAAGGAAGGGGAAGGAAAAGGGGATGCCTGGGAATTGTGTGTGTGTGTGTGTGTGTGTGTGTGTGTGTGTGTGTGTGTGTGTGTTGGGGAAGGGTGGGAAGGGATTGGGGGCTTCTGGGGAAAGGTCAGAGGGCCTGCAAAGGGAGCAGGTGACCCCACTTCTGGGGAGCAAGCCCAGGAGGGCATCTAGAGAAAGAATGGAGGCTGGCCCAAGGCCGGGGGTGGGATTGGGCCAGTTGAAACTGAGAGGCTGGGGGAAGACGGGACTCAGGCCCCCCTTCACCAAGATGGCTGGTGCCGTCACGCCTGAGGGAGCTGAGCAGCCAGTTGCCTTGGCGACAGGAGGAGAGTACCGCATGCTAATGAGACTATGGAGACTGGAGGAGCTGGGCAGCAGCGGGGTCCAGGGAGGGGGGAAGGGGTGTTAGCTCTGGCCCAGTCACCTGGGGTCCCACTACCTGCCACTGCTGGTTGAGGGAATAGGGCAGGACCTGGGGCTCTTGAGCTGGGAAACTGGATGCCAGGGTTCTGGGCAGCTGGTTGGGAGGAGTGGCTATCAGGACTTAGTACCAGGGAACTGGAGAGGAGAGAGGCCAGTTGGGCCTTGGGGTCAGAGCTGGGCCCAGGGAACGGCATGAAAAGCCCCCAGGCAGGACACCAGAGTTGCCTGCTTTGTAAGGCAAACTTCTCCCTTCCCCTTCCTCCCCATCCACCCTCACAGATGGGGGCCCTGGGGATGCTAGGCTTCTTGGGAACAATGAAAAGTGACCATGTTCCTTTGGTGGGAATACCTTGGTGAGCCAAGCAATGAGACTGGGAGATGTCTGACTTACCCCGCAGTCCTAGGGCCCAGGAAGGGGAAAGCCAGATCCGGCCCAGAGAGAAGGGAAGGGGTGGGGTATGATGCAGGATCTGTCCAGGGCCTTCCTGCACTAGTCTGCTCACCTCCTGGCCTCTCATTCCCCAACCCTCCAGGAACCCAGGCATCTTGGTCCTCGGCTCCATCTTGGAAACCCTTGGGGCTCTGTAACCTTGACAAGCTCAGGCCCGGCCTTAGCTCCCCTTGGGCGGACGGCTCATTGCCACAGCAACCGGGACGGTTTCCAAGGGCAACATGGTGCTGCTGGCGAAGTCCCCTCCCACATCTCCCGCCCAGATGTCAGGGTGGCTGGGGGTGGGGGTGCGGTGAATGAGGGGAGGAAGAATGGTTAAGGGGGATGGGGAACCTGCTGAGGAAAGGTAAGGTGAAATGAGGGGAGAGGGTCCATCTTCCCATTTGGCAAGACCTGGGGGTGCTGCCTGCCTTTGGGAGTGCTACTTTCCCAGCTGGCCTTTCTCTCTTTGGGGTCTGTGTGTCCTGGAGTCAATGGGCTGAGCTGTTCTCCCCAGATCTGCTGATGCCTCACTTTAGAAGGATCCTGGAATGTCCCTTTGCCCATCCCTAGGTCAGAAGTGTCCAGCTCCTCTTCTATAGCCAGGATATAGCTTTTGGGGTCTCCCCAGAGAAGATCTTGGCAGGGGGAAGAGGCTAGAGGCTGGAGTCTGACCAGACTGCACAACCCTCTCCTTCTTGTCCCCACGGTTGGTTGGCCCCAAGCCTCAAGCCCCAAATCCTTACAGAGGAGTTCAGGTCTCCTGCCTCCCTAGGCCTGAGGTCTCCCTGTGGTAGATGCCATCCCCTCTAGGTCACCCTGGCCAGCCTCCTCCTCCCTGGTCTTCCTAGAACCCAGGCATCTGGCCCCTTGTCATCTGGGGAGTCTGAGCAGCCAGCAGTAGCAGCCCTGTGGGGGTCTCCCAAGGGCTCCACTTCCCAGGCCCAGGAGCGCAATTAGTCCTCCAGTCCTCCAGAGAAGCAGGGCCATGCCAGGGGGACAGCCCCAGCTGCCCTGCGGCTCTGCGGAGGGGACGTCGCACTCTCTCTCCAGGTGGCTTTTGGTCTCTCTGTGTGTTTTATTTTCTCCTCCATCCGAATCGTTTTTTCTCGTTGACCATTTTTTTTTCTGTCCGACTCTCGGAAGAAAAAAAAAAGAAAAAAAAGAAAAAGGAAAAAAGCACCTTCCCTGCCAAGCTTCTCCTCCTTTTCCTTTTTTTTTTTCTCCCCTTGGCAAGAAGAAATAAAGAAACCAAACCCTCCTGTCTCCCCTCACTCCCTGCGATAAGCCCTGGCCCCATTATCCTCTGGTCGCTCCTGGCCCCTTCTCAGCCCTCGGCCTCCTCCTCTTTCTGTCTGTCTCTCTCTGATTTTCTCTGTCGCCCTGACTTTTGTCTCTTCATCTCTCCATCTCTGTCTGTCTCTGACTCTCTCTGACCTTTGTCTGTGAATCTCCCTCTCCCTGGGACAGGCTCTGACTCTCTCTCCCCAACTTTGGGTCTCTCTGTTTCCTTGTGAATCCGTCTTTCCTTCTCTGACTCCATCTCTCTCAGTCTCTCTGACTCTCTCTGCCCGACTTTCTGTCTCTGAATCTCTCTCTGTGTCTCTGATTCCATCTCTGACTCTCTCGCCTTGATTCTCTGTCTTTCTCTCACTTCTTTCTTGGCTTCAGGCTCTCTCTCTGTGTCTCTCCCCTTCCTTTCCCCCTGCCCTTGGCATCGGGCCCCCCTCCCCGGCTCCCGGGCTGGGGGCCTCTCCCCCCGATGCCTGTCACAAGTTAAAAAGGGTTTTAAATTGTGGCAGCAAAAGCTTACCCCCTTCTCTCTGGCCGATTTTGATGACTCGTGTTTTCTGTTTCTTCTTCTCTTTTTTTTTTCCTTTTCTTTCTTATTTTTGTTTTTGTTTTTGTTTTTTTTTTCTCCTCTTTCTTTCTCTCTCCTTCCCCTTTTCCAAGGTCCGGCTCACCTGACGTTAAACAGTGAAGGTATGAAGTTTTGGTTTGGTTTGGTTTGGATCTGTCCCCCTCCCCCAGTCTCCTGAATTTTGTTTTGCCCTCCCCTTGCCCCTCCCTCCCCTCTCCCTCGTCTGTCTGTCTGTCAGTCCGTCTGTCCCTTTTTTTGTTTTGGGAGGCTGGGCTGGGGGTGGGGGCTTGTCTCCATCTGTGCTCCTCCTCCCTCCTTGCTGCCCGCCCCCCAGCCCCGCCCTCTCCTCATCCCACCTTGGTTTCTGACATCAGCAGATGTTCAAACTCCTGCCGCTGTCTCCAATCACCCCTTCCTCGAGTTTTCCTGGTGGCATTTCTTCGTTTCTCTTTTTGGGTTTTTTGGTGGTTTCTTCTCCCTGCCACTCCTTACCCTTCCCCCCATCCTCTACCCTTTGTGATGGTGATTTATTTTCCTCTCCCACCTTTTCTGTTCATTCTTTTGTTTTTCAACCTGACTGAAGAGAGAAAGGCATGTATTGGAGAAGAGGAGGGCTCCCGGCCCCTGCCCATGGCCTGTCTCCTGCAGGCCCTGGGGGTGGGCCAGGGGGCTGAATACCCCATCCAGGGGCACTCAGTAGTTGGCCAAGCCCTTTCACCAAACAGTTCCTTTGACCCTCCTCTAGATAATTGGTGGGAGATAGGGGCTGGACAAGATGACCCCTAAGGTCCCTGCCAGCGCTTAGCTTTGGGCTTCTCCCCAAATGCCATGAGCCTGGGCAGGGAAGGCCATCCTCATCTGGCCCCACCCCCACCAGGGAAGTCAAGTGACTTTGCCCCAGCTTTTAGATCTCTGGTAGGTGGTGGAGCTGAGACTCCTACCCAGGACTCATCTATTCCATCACCTAGAGGAAGGGACGAGATACGGCCAGTTGACTGTTTGTTCTGTTGGGTCACCTGCACTTTTGAGGGCAGAGGAGGAGCAGGGAAAAGGGAATCCAGTGGTGACTCCCAGCCTGCCCATCCTCCTGGCTACTCCCATTGGCCCAGAAGGCCTGGGAACAGAATTCTGGTGTCCACACATCTCTTAGTTGGTCTCCCAGACATTCAGCTAGCTCCCTGGTGTCTGTGCCCCGGAGACATGGGCTGGGGTCCAATCCCCACTGGCCATGACTCTTCACCAGTGGGGCTGGGGGGAAAGGATACAAATGAGCCCTTAAGCAACTGTCAGGGATGGTCAGGAAAAGGAAGGGAGGTGAGAAGGGTGAGTGCTGGCTTGGTTTGCCTGGCATCAGGCTTAAATCCTGGAAGGGCCCTAGGCCCTGGCAGGTAGACTCAAGGGACACGATGCCTACATCTGTGGCGGAGTCTGTGGTTACAGGTAGAGGAGGAAAGAGTGAGCCAGCCCTTGTGGGTGGTGGGGGCAAGGCAGAGGATTTCTTGGCTCCTGCCCTCTCTTCCTCTTTCCCCTGTGCCAGGCTCCAGATTCTGGTTGTCAGGCCACCTTGGCCTCTGAGCCCACCCTCTGCTTCTTTGAGATGAGGTCTTGGAAGACCTGTCCTTACCAGATGGTAAGACCCTCTCAGGGTCCACTAGCCCTGGGCTTAGGCTGGGAGCAGGGCCCAGGCAGAGGCTTCTCCTTCATATTGACAATGGGGCCGATTTGTTAGCATATGATGGGGAGAGAAGTTCAAGCCCCTAGGGAGATGAGGAGCCCTTTGGTGGGGCTGGGCAGGTGAGCAAGTTCCTGAATGTGTAGCACAGCACGGCTTCCAGCCCTTAGCTGGGGTCTTTGGCTGTGCCATTTACTATCAATCAGTCAACGTTTATGAAGCACCTACTATATGCCAGGCGCTGTGCTAAGCCCTGAGAATTCTAAAAGGGTCCAAAGGCAGTTCCTGCTCTCAAGGAGCCCACAGTGGAATAGGGAGGCAATATGCAAACAAATATGTACAAGAACAAAATAGTTAAGGGAGGGAAGACGCTAGAATTAGGAGGAGTGGGGGAAGGCTTCCTTTGGCCTGGTCCGTTCCCCTCTTTGGACCCTGGTTTTCTCCTTTGTAAGACAAGGGCCTTGGACTGGAGGACCTCTGTCCCCCAACTTTCAGTCTATGATATGAACACCAGCTAGGGAAGTCTCTGGAGCAGTGGGTACCAGGGGAAAGTAGAGGAGAGCCCTTGGCCCAACCACATGCATGTGTCTGAGTGCCAGCCACAGTCCAGCTCATGCCACAGGAGAGAACATGTGGGCTTTGTTCTCATTGTTTGCCATCTTGGTGGTGAGGCAGGCTACCCCCAGATGTGGTGAAAAGAAGGAATTGGGAGCCACTAGGTGAATGTAGGGGGAAGAGGAGTGGAGGACAGAGATGGCAGGGATTCTGGCCGGCAGAAGAAAGTCAGGGTGAAGGAACTGGGGGAGCCTTATGGGGCAGAAAGCTGCTGAAGGTCAAGGTGCTGCCATGTGCCAGAGCCTAGACAGAGGGTGTGGGAGGTGGGCGCTCCCGAGCCTGCTTCCCACCCAGAGTCTGAGCCTGCCACGGAGTTAGTGGCAGTGCTCAGATGGGGCTCCACACAAGGGGGTGCCAGAGACCCCTGGCTTCTCACGGCCCAGCTCCCTCCTCCCCCCAGGCCCAGCCCCTTTCCAGCCCCGAGGCAATGTGGGAAGGAGGCATTTGAACCTGCCTGCTCCTGGGCGGTCTATGCGCCAGGCCCTGGAGCATGCTTCCTGCCCTGTCCCCCCAGGAGCCTCCAGTGCCTGACTCCCCATTTTGTTTCTCCAGTAGGGTCCCTACTATTCTCTGAGGGGGGGGCCGGTCGAGGAGGAGCCAGCGACGTACACCAGCCAACGAAAGGTCAGTGACTCCTCTATCTGGTCACCAAAAGGGCTCCTTCCCATTCTCCTAGGGCTGCTCCTTTTCTGGGAACCCCAGGGACTGCTGACCCCAGCTCTTGGAGTGACACATCCCATGCTTTTGTCCTGTCCACACCCTAAAGGCATGTCCCCTTGTGCTAGAGAATCTGGGAGACTGAAAATGACTCCCCCCACCTAAGTGGCAGCATCTACTATGTGCCAGGCACTGGGAGGGAGAGGAATACGCCCTGCCCTAGGGTGGCTTCCAGTGGAGGGGGGGAGCTGAGGCTGCCTTATCAAGGACGCTTTTGGTCAAAATCCATCCCTTCCAGCTCTGGGATGCCCAGTGCTAAGCACAGGATAAGGGAAGAGATGGGAATGAGAAGATGGCAGCTTTAAGGTAGCCACAGACTGTTCTCTTGGAGCTTGGGCTAGAAGTAGGGAAGAAGAACAGTGTGGCATAGTGGATAGAGCACAGGACTGGGAGTAGAGAAGACCTGAGTTCAAATTCTACCTTAGACATTCCCTGGCTTTGTGACCCTGGGCAAGTGAGAACATCTCTCTGCCTCAGTTTACTCATCTGGGAGTTCAGAGAGACTTCTGCTCCAGGTTCAGCTCTGACCCGTGGCCACCATGTGACCTTGACTGAGTCCCTTGCCAGAGTCCCCTCTGAGCCCCAGTCTTCTGAGCTGAAAGGGAACCAGGGCACTTAGCACTTGGTCAGCCTGAAAGCTCTTCCCCTTGAGGAATTAGAAGCTCAGAGAGGTTAACCAGTCTGAGCACAGACACACAGCAAGTTAATGACAAGACCGAGATCTGAGCCCAGGCTCAAAGGGTTATAGCTTTAAAGGTGGAAGAAACTTCAGAGTGGAGAGTGGGAGCTCCTTGAGGGCAGGGACCATCTTTTGCCTTTCTTTTTATTCTCAGAAGTTAGACCTGGCACATAGTAGGCACTTAAATGCTTATTGACTGACTGGCTCCGGAGTTATAGGTCCTGGGGTCAAATGCTGCCTCTGATGCTTGCTATCAGTGTGACCTCCTTGAGCCTCAGTTTCCTCATCTGTAAAATGAACAGATTGTTTGGCCTCTGAGGTCCCTTCCGTTCTCCATCTATGATCCTGTGATCTATGGTGTAACAGATTATCTCGGTCTGATCCAATCAGCATGCAGTCAGCACTCACTGTGTTTGAGGTGTTGGGCATACAAAGACAGAATGAGAACTGTTCAATCAGTCAATCAACATTGATTAATCATTTTGCCACAGATAATGAAATCAAGGTCCAGAGACGTTTAGCAACCTATCTAAGGCCCTGAAATTGGTTAATGGCAGAGCTGGGATTTGAACCTTGGTCCTCTGACTTGAAATCCTGTGCTTTTTATAATGTTCTCAGTTCAGGGAATCTCTCCTCCACGCCTGGACGTGATCTCTGGGGGCACTTCTTGGGGTGGGGCGGGTCATTCCTGGTTCCTTAGTGAGTGATTTGGAGCACTACAACTCCCATCATCCTCTGGGGTCAGGAGCTGTCCAGAGCCTCCTTGGTTTCCCGGCCCAGGTTCAGTTTTTGGGGGGCAGCAAGTCCCCTCTCTCCATGCCTCCCTCAGAGAGGCTGATGGAGCTGGAGTCTCAGCCCTAAGGCTGAAAGGCTGGCTACAAAAGTGGGGGAAGGGATGGCACCCTGGGCCACCCCAGGCTTCTGGCCTTTGGGCCTCAGTCACCTTGCGCTGTCACATTGATGTGACACCCTTCTTTCTCCTCTCTGCCTTGGTCACTGAATGAGGCCACCCCTGCCCCCCGCCTCCCTCCCCCATCCACTGCTCATCACATTCACATCCTGTTTCTCTCCGGTCTTCATCCTTCCCCTCGGAGTGTGCTTCCTTTTCCTGGGTTCCTCTTTTGAGTACCAACTGTTAGCCCTGACCTCCAAGACCTGACTCAGAGTATGGCTGTTGGTCTTTGCTTTTCTATGTGTTTCTAAGTGACTCTGGGGTCAGCCTGGTGTGTTGGATTCACATTCAAAGGAGCTGGGGTGGAGTCCCTTTGTGTCCCCTTGGGCCAGTCCCTTCTCTCTTGGGCTGTTTTCCTTTCTGTGAAATGGGGACGTGAGTCTGGGTGGTCCCTGAGGTCCCTGCCAGTTCAGAGTCCCAAGGTTCTTTTCCTCCTGTGCACTCAGTCTTGTGCTCAGCCTGGCTCTCTGGTGACAGAAGAGAAGGATTTGGTGTATAGATTTGGACCCAGTATGCAGAGTTGTGTTTCAGCTCAGGGATCTCTGAGCCAAAAGCAGGCTTCCCATCTAGGTGATCAGAATCATCAGTACAGATTTCTTGGCTCGGTGCCCTCCCCGCCCTCCTCCCGCTCACCTCAGATGCTCATTTTCTCTGTCTCCTTGTCCCATTTTCTCTTTCCTTCCTGGGCCCCCGTTTCCCTCCCTTGCTTCCCTTCCTAACTCACCCCCCTCTGCGGGGCAGGACTCACCTCTATTGCATCCTCACACCCCTCAGCCCTCACTTCCTTCCATTTTCCAGTGGCTAGGGGCAGGCGCCCTGGTTGCTATGGAAACAGCAAGGCGCTGAGGGATGCCCAGACCTTTCCCTGGAGGCCCCTGTCCCCCTTTCCCATCCAATCCTCTTTCCCCCTTCCCGTTCTCTCACAGCCTGCCCCCTTTCCCTTTCTGGCCTCTTTTCTCCTCCTTCCTCCTCTCCCACTTGCTGTCTCCCCTCTATGTTCCTCTGTTTCTCTCCATGGGTCCCCTCCCTTCTTTTCTTCCCAACTATCCCTCTTTCTCCTTCTGCGTCTCCTTTTCTTTTCATAATCTGCCTCCCTCCTCTGGGACTCTCTCCTTTCCTCTTTGTTCTGGATCTCCACCACAGCCCTGGAGTTGACAGTGGGGATGGGTAAGGATCTTTTAGGAAAACCACCTGCCTCACCCCCTAGAACCTCAGGGAACTAGTCTCTGTCAGCTGCAGTGGGTCTCTGTGCCAGCCCCTGGGGTGGCAGCTGGTGCCTTGGCATCCGGGAGGCAGGGAGGACAGAGGCCATGGGCAGCTTGCCCAGCCTGGGGAGGCGGGAGAGAGTGGGGAAAGAACAGTAACGTTGGGTGGGTGGCTGGGGGAGGAAAAATCACAGGAACATAGAATCCTAGATCTGGAGCTCAGAGGCCATCTCATTTTACAGGGGAGGAAACTGAGGCCTTCCAACAGACTCACATTTATGAGTAGAGATGTCCACTTGGTGGTCTCTTGTACTTGGGCAAGGTAGCCTCACATGTTGTATGATTGCTGATGTGGACATTCATAGCATACACTTCCAGATGGCCAGACGTGCCCACAGCTCTCTGGGTCTGCCTTCTGGGGTCCCATTCTCTAGTGGTCTTGGAAATTTGGACTGGCGAAAGGTCATTCTTAGTCAACAAGCCTCTGCAGGTACATAGTGGTGGAGCTAGATAGGCCCACACATGTAACACGTAACATGTGCTGTGCCCATGGCACGTCTCTAACAGGTACAGAGGTGCCACCTTCCTTCTCTGAGCCTCAAACCCAGAGGGCATTTCCTTCCAGCCCTACAGCTTAGAACTCCCTAGCTCCCTTTGAAGCTCATCTCAAATGCCACCTCCTACAAGAAGCCTTCTCTGATTGCCCCAGATGCCAGTGCTCCCCTCCCCCACCTTCTGTTGATTTTATATTCATTCTGCTAGGTGGTACAGTGGGTGGAGTCTATTTAGGACTTCAAGTAAGGAAGGCCTGAGTTTGAATCCTGTCTCAGGCACTCCCTAGCTGTGTGACTCAGGGCAAGTCACTCAAACTCACTGTGTCTCTGCTTCTTCATTGGTAAAATGGGGATAATAATAGCACCTACCTCTAGGGAGGTTGGGAGATCTAATGGGTTAATATATATATAAAATACTTCTCAAACCCTAAAGCCCTCTAAATGCTGCTGTAACTGCTCAGTCATTTCAGTCGTGTCCGGCTATCTATTACCCCATCTGGGCTTTTCTTGGCAGAGATCCAGGAGTGGTTTGCCATTTCCTTCTCCAGCTCATTTTACAGATGAGGAAACTGAGGCAAACAGGGTGAAGTGACTTGCCCAAGGTCACACAGCTAGTAAGTGTTTGAGGCTAGATTTGAACTGTGCACCATGGCGCCACCCCGCTGCCCCTCTAAATGCTCACTACTATTTTTATTACTTATATGTGTACATGTTGTATCCATGATAGACTGCAGGCTCCTTGTGGGCAGGGATCGATCGATTTTGTTTTTCTGTCTTTGTACTGGCCGCACCCGGCACAGTGCTAGGCACATAGATGAGTGAGTGATTGAGTGGTGTGGTGACTTAAGCTTTGCAAAGTGTCTCGTTAGCTCTTTATCTCATTTAAGCCTTTCCACAACCCCCTGAGGGAGGTGGTCAAAGAACGATGGACTCATTTACAGATGAGCAAACTGAGGCACAGAGAGGTTAAGGGACTTCCCCAGGGCCATCCAGCGAAGGAGGTCACTTGCCCCAGGTCACATAGCTAGTAAATGGTGGAATCCGAAGGACCCCGGCCAGCCTGCCCCGACTCCCAGGCTGGGGCTCTGTCTATTGTACCACACTGCCTCCCGATGGACGTTCCTTGCTCTCATGATCCTTCTTCCCTGCCTGTCCATTCCCCATGGAGCGGCTAGTACAGGTCCCACCAGCTTGTCCTACTGAGTGTCCACAGGCCCCTTCCCTGGCTGTGGGAGTGAGGGTCATGGCAATCCATTCACGCTCCTCCTGGCGCCTCCTGTGTGCACACTTGTACATGCCTGCTTGCACATTCTCTCTCTCGTCTGCTCTGGATTGCATCATTCTCCTAGTGTACCCAGCTTCCACCCCGCTTTGCACCCAATCCTGGATCTGTCTGCACAGTGAGGACAGGGCTATATAGGGAGGAGGGGGACCGCAGGACCCTCGGAGGGTCTGCCCTGGTGAATGATGCCCCAAAGCCCAGCCGCCTGGGAATTTCCCCAGGCTGGGGGAAGAGATTTCAACCTTGCTTTGTCCACATGCCCTTCCTCTGGCCTCACCTTCACCCTCGTGCCTGTCTCATGATTCTTGGCCTTTCCCTCTGAGCCTCAGTTTCCCTCTTTTAAATGAGGGAATTGAACCAGGGGTTCTCCCAGCTCTGACATTCCATGTTTTATATTCTAAGGTCCCTTCCAGATCCAATATTCTCTAGTCTCTGTTCTAAGGGCCCTGCTGGTTCTGATATTCTGTGTCCTAAGGCCCTTCCTGGCTCTGACATTCTATGTTCTAAGGTCCTTCCAAGGTCCGACATTCTCTGTTCTATGTTCTAAGGCCCCTGCTGGTTCTGATATTCTG